ACATGGCGGCAAACCAGCTCCCCACAGGATCCTTCAAATAGGATGTGTGTAAGACTTGGTGTATGCAGGCATGCCACCTCTGGTAAAGGAGGCAGCACATAGCAAGGCTAGCAGCCACTGATAGTCTCCTCCTCCTCCTCCTCCTCCTCCTCCTCCATGAATCTGTCCAGTCTCCTTTTCCAGCCATCAGAATTGGTGGGCATCACCACTTCCTTTGGCAGCCAATTCTATGGTTTAACTATACATTGTGTGAAGAAGTACTTCCTTTTATCTTCCCTAAACCTCCCAGCAATCAGCTTCATGGGATGACCCCAGGTTCTAGTGTTATGGGAGAGGGTGAAACATCTCTCCCTTCTTCATCGTGGTCTCTGTGCATTTAGCGACAGTGGAAGGCCTATGTTGGAAGAAGCTTCTACATCGCAGCATCACGGAGTGGGAGGGGGCCCTCTCCCTTCCAGAGTCTGCGCCTTGCCCGATCCTGCAGTTCCTTTTTGACCTATCAGCAATATGTCAGACAGAATTAAATGATCTACTAACATGCCCAATTTCCTAAGAATGTTATGAGGTCCCTCTCGTTCTTACTTGAACTATAGCTTTCAGTGGAATTGACGATAAGTCAAGCTAGGTGATCACACAAAATTGGATAAATTGCCTAGAAAGGATTGTCTTTAAAATGCATTATGCATATAGTTTAACTTTGGTAACCATATTTATATCCTGCCTCTTTTCTTTTAAATAACTCAAAATGGCTTACATCATTCTTCCCCTTCCGCCCTCAGTCTTATCCCCACAACAACTCCTCTGTGAGGTAGGTTGGGCTGAGAGTCTGTGACTGGTCTAAAGTCCCCCAATTGGCTCCATGGTTGAGCAGAGACTAGAACCTAAATTGTCTGAGTTCCACTCCCTTGCTCTTCACCACTGCACCACACGGAGTCATATGTTTAAGTGAGGCGTGAGTAGCTGGCAGCCTCTGGACCTTAGACCTTAGTTCTGCTTAGACCTCCTTGCCAGTTGCCAACCCAGAGGCTAGAATGGGTATTTACTGTCACTAGGAAACGGCATTGACCTCTTTCCCAGAGTGAATATCCAGCAGAATTAATTACTGACCTAAGAAACTCTTTAGAGCCTAAAGCAACCATCCAGTATTTATTTCTACATTGTAACTCATTATAACTATTAAATTATATGTAAATAAAACTATTTTAATACATCTGTTTTTAAGACATTTTATTACATAGAACATGCATTTTATGAAAAAGAACTGGAACACTTTGGGAAAAAGGAAACAATTTTGCTGTATGATCCTTTGTTTTATAAATATTTCTGTAAATTGATTCTAAACCATGTTTAGGGATAGTAATTCAGCTAAATTGCAGGTGTGAAGCATTGATGCAATCCTCAGTGGACATTAGACCAGTTTACATAATTATAACTGGCTGCTTGAATATACCTGCCCTCCTACCAGATGGAGGAGCATAGAATCACATCATCTTCCCATCCCTAGAGAGCCAAAACAGAAATTACTTCAAATGTGTTTAGCAGCTATGTGGTTTTGTTTTTTGATTAACTGAAGAATAGTCGCAAGGTCCCAACCAGATTGGGAGCCTAGTAGGGTAGGTTGCTTTTAAGTTCTTGATGGAGCCCCTGCTCCTACTCTAGAATAAAAATGAAAAGAATACATAGTCACTAGACGTGTGTCTGTTTTGGACCCAGAAGCACATGAATGGGCAAAATGGTCATTCTTTTGCAGGGTTCACAATAGACTTAGAAATTGAACTATCATTTTTTCCCATTTGTTCCTATTCTGCATTATTTGCTTCATTTTCCTTTTGACTCATCCTTGGCCTGCTTGGTGTTCCCCTACTTCTTATGACTTGTTTTTCCCCTTTTTATGCCCCATAGTTATTTATTTTCCTTGTTCAAGACACTTGACCTCTTACATTTCCTCCTTTTGGGTTTCTGCTTCTTAAAAATGGAGCCAGAAATAAATTCCAACTGACTTGGAATACTGATTGTTTGCTTTTGCAAAAGCACTGTGTTTTATAAATTATACATTACCTTTGCAAAGTCTTATCTGCCAGAGAGTCTGCCCTACTTTGTGCGTTTTCATTACTTCAATATTGAGCCTGCCTGTGAGGCCGTTACCCTGTATTCTAAATACTATGGAAATAATAAGCAATAAACGGACATAGTTGCAATCATGTTCAATGGGATTTGTAACTTGGAAGGAATTCACTACTGAGGAAGGAAAGGCAGGCTTACCCATTTCTTACTATGGAAATAGTGGGTGGGTTCCCACAGTGATAGAGCAAAAATAAGCTGCAGTAGCTCATTTTCCCTCCTCATACAAAGCCACCTTATTAACATAATAACTTTTGCCGAGTCTGGGTAGTCATGATGCCTGGGCCAGGCGAGGGTTGGTGGCTTGGGTGCTTTGCATGCCACTCTTGAGTCCCATACCTTACTGCCACCCTCACCCAGAAAGGGGGAAAACCCTGCTGCGTATTTTTTCCACGGTTGTGCAAACTCACCCACAGTGTCAGGCTTTGGTTTGCTGCTTAGAGGCAGTAAGAATATAGTTCCAAGGAATGTAGCAGGTATGATTCAGTATTCTCCTCCATGGTGCTTTTTAGACTTTTTAGAACCGAAACTTCTATTACTGTTCTGTTTCGTGTGTGTGTGTGTGTGTGTGTGTGTGTGTGTGTGTG